GTCCCCATCTGAATGATGAGGGTGGGTAGGAGACCCAGGGGCCCCGCCCCCACTGCTGACACAAAAATCTAAAAAAGCCAGTTTGGAGTTTGCCAAAACTTACCTGAGGAAGCCGCAGTCCTTCTGGGAGGATGTCCTGCGGACAGATGAGACTAAAGTAGAGCTTTCTGGTCGAGCACATCATTCTACTGATTTCAGAAAATGAAATGAGGCCTTCAAAGAGCAGAACACAGTCCCTACAGTCAAACACTGTGGAGGTTCACTGATGTTTTGGGGCTGCTCTGCTGCCTCAGACACTGGATGTCTTGATTGTGTGTATGACATGAAATCTGAAGACTACCAATTAATTCTGGGGCACAATGTAGGACCCAGTGTCAGAAAGCTGAGTCTCCGTCAGAGGTCACGGGTCTTACAGCAGGACAACGACCCAAAGCAGAGTTCAAAAAGCACCCAGACCTGGAGCAGCTGGCAGAAGAAGAGTGGTCCAAAATTCCAGTAGAGAGGTGTAAGAAACTCTTTGATGGTTACAGGAAGTGATTGATTTCAGTTATTTTGTCCAAAGGCTGTGCTACCAAATATTAAGTTGAGGGTGTCAGTAATGTAACATCTTTGTCTATTACTACCTTGTTTGCATGTGTCAGTACTTGATGTGAAATGTCATCTGACCCCTATTCATCTATATGCATTTAAATCATTGCAGAACTACAGTCTATACTGCCAATCTAGAAACTCACATCAATCAATAAAATATACTATTAGTAGAGTTTATGACTTCACATTGCCTCATTGCCCAAATCCTTATACTTAAATTCTAAGTTTTGAGTTTCAGTTATGAGTTCACCAGAAATATAGGAATTAATTATATTAAACTAACTTTCTTGCATCTGTGGTGCAATAAAGAACATGTACAGTCTGAAATCATAACACATTTGATCCTCCTTCTTAGTCTCTGAATATGCAGCTGAATGTTAACATTAGTTCTCGAGTCCAGCTGAAGTCATCACTGATGTCAAATTGCAATTCTCTTCTTGTTTTGTCACATCTGATGTCATGAAATTTGACCTTTCTAAAGGTCAGGACCGACTCTCACGCACCCTCTCTTTTCATGGTGGTAATGTCACGTGGCAGGTAAATTACCCTAATGCTGTCATGACACACTGTCAATACAAGTTTGGATATACTGAATAATAGCTGCCCTGTTCAGTTTAGTCCACACAGGAAATGTGGACTCCACATCACAGACCGAACTTTCTACTGTACCTTGATAAGCTGTGTATTTTCATTACACAAACACCATATACTGTAGCCTTCATTTTTGCATGTCAAATTAGTCTCACATAATGGCCTTTTTTCTTTCTTTTTTCTTTTTACTTTGCATACATGGAAAACTCTGCCAGCTGTATATTGTACTGCCATAAACTGACTTAGGTTTTGTGTTTTCATTTCCTCGTAGGCAGATGCAGTAGCAGCTCCATCGGTGTGCTGCTGTCACAGATGCCGCTGTGATGTTTCACTGATACAAACCCAGGAAAACAGGTGAGGTGAGCTTTCTGTATTCATTATCTTTTATTAATCTATATGCAGTGTTGTCCTACAAAACCAGTACATATGTTACACTAGCCCTTAAAATTAAACCTACAGCGCTTGAAAGGAGTCAGCTTTACAGGACAACTGATGTTTCAGTGGGTTTAAAGACTAAGTGCTGCAGTTTATCAAAGCAAAAACCTTTTTGTAACATTTGGTAATGTACTCATAAATTACTGCATGTCATATTCCTGTTTTGTTTTTATTTGTTTTGTCTTAGGAATTCAGTG